AAGGGGCCTTCCTGCTACTTCAAGATTTGGATTTGCCACTTGTAGCATTGGAAAATTTGTAAAATTGCCCAATAATGACGTGGTTTTGTTTTGTTTTTTGTTTTTTTTTGTTTTGTTTTAGTGAAACGTAGGAAAGTAATTTTTCAGTGATGAATTTGGATCATTTCCAAAGTGATACGAATAAAGCCCCCCAGAAGACGACCTGATAAATGGATCAATTCATGGATTTTTAGGTAAAGATTTTATTCATTTTTGTTACTTAGTGCAGTGAGCTGTATTTGCAATGATTAAAGTACTGAATATGAGACAAGTAATAAAATGATGATGACTTGTAATTATCAGGGGTTTGAATAGAAGTAGGGTAACAGATCTACCCACTTGTGATGAGCTGGCCACCATCTTTTAGACACTGTACCACACACATTTAATTCGCTACAAATGGGTTCAATTTTAGCAACAAAAGGCAATATAAACTGGAGTTGACCCTGAAATGCAATTGCTAGAGTCAAATTATTCCAAAGTTTCCCTTGGGAGCCCATACCCCACTTGGAGTAGGAGGCTCTCCAGGCCTTCAATAACTTCATCTGATAAAAGCTTTTTGCAAGCTAAGTCGCAGTTTTATGTCTCCAGACCCAAGTGTCCATCCTCATAACAGTGGCTGACACCTCCAAGAACCTCTTCATACAGGAAAGAGCCTCACCCTTGTGGTTCTACCTGGGGATGACTTCATGGACATTGTTGAAAGTTCTCTAAGGCCAGACTGCCCAGTGCATAAACTACAAAAGGATAAAAATATGGCTGTAAAAGGCATCATGGTCACTGGTTACTCCATAAGATCCCAAAAAGCTGTGGTTGTAGCTTCCCTCAGGTAGTCTTAGGACTTACCATGATGTTAGACTATTCCAACCCTATTTAAGAATGTTGTCAAGGTGACTTACAACATTTGATCTCAATAAAGTACTTTTACAATTTTATTGTTCTCGTTTATTATCAGCCTGTTGCTGTGTTGCTAACTATTGAGTGAATGAAAATTCCAATTTAAATGTAACCAGCGCAACACCGTTGATTGTAGAAAACTTTTTTCTGACATCCAGTAGGGATCCCGATTAACAATAAGATCCTGAAACAATTTCTTGTTACCTCATTGTATGACTAAGTCACAATAAGAGGTTTAGTATGGAACTAAAAGTCACTCACTCAAACGCTCCCTACTGATCAGTTTTTGCTTTTAACTTGGATTAAGAGCATTAATCCCCTTTTACCCCTACTAGTTCTCTTCCTGTCCTCAGAGGTGTGTAACTATCTTGTATCCTTATGTCTGAGAGGGGGGGGGATTTAGCGTAAGGACTTGAAGGGATCAATACCGTATATCCTCGAATAGGCGCCCAGGCGCTTACTTGAAATTCGGCTAAAAGGAAGGGCGCTCATTGGAAGGAGAGTGCTTAATTAGTAAGCGCGGAAAGAGGACTGACAGAGAAAGAACAGATGGCGCACTTGGGGAACTTGTGAGTTAGAAATAACTGGAAGTGGCTTGATGGAAAGGAAATATTCTCCTTTACTGGTTCTTCAGTAGTTGAAGCTTTAGCTTGTGCCAATATTTTCATGGCAAAATTAGAAAAAAGGTATTAACACCTAGAGCACAACTAAACCGCTACTTTGGAAGAAACGTGTTGACGACGTTTTATGTCTGGAACAGAACCAAAGACGTTTGAAGAGTGTAAGATACCAAGATGAAATTTTGGAGAAATATATCTCTGAATTTGATTTCACTGGGAGAGAAAGGTCACTCATAACTTACGTAGGATTATGCTCGCGATCGATTGTAAACGTTTCCTCGTCTGACGGTCACCGAAATGCCGAGAGGAGCTTCCTGTTTGACTTTACTCCGAAATGCTGTGTATCAGGGCTACTGCGAACTCGCTGCTAGTTTTCCTGCCAAATCCTAAAGCTGTCTTTCGCTCATTCCTTGGTTTGAAAATTGATCTTGTAAGCCATAAATTATGGCGGCTTTCCATTCGTGCAGGAAGACCTCTTGATGGCTTCATTATCGCGAACACGGATTGAAATGACAAAAATACGTAGCAAATAGACGATTGACACTTAATAGAAACAGGTTTTCCTTGTATTCCTACTACTTAAGAAAGTGAGAGAGGAGGGTGGGGGCGTCGGTTTGACTTTATGGCCTAAGGGGTGAGCGCTTTTTCGGGAGAGAGTGCTTATTAGAGCGTGGGCGCTTATTCGAGGAAATACTAACAGTAATTTAAAATACAGTAAATTGGTTGAACCCGAGGGTAACATGTGATCGTGTAGTTCGACCGTCGTGGTTAGTGTAGTCCTGAGAAGAACTGTTGTGCACTGTGTAGTAGTGACTGGTGTTCGACAACCTGAGCGGATGTCATCACCAGAGTCGAAGGAATAGTTGTTGTCAGTACTAGGTCTGGTTTGTGTAAACTGACTGGTCAGTGTAGCCGTGAGGTAAATGGCGTCTTTCTTGTCAGGCTGAACGCCAAAATTATGGAAGGTGGCATTTCCTTCCTTTCGCTCCATCCTTGATTAAAGCACACTTTTGTAGTCCTCTCAAACGAAGAGGAAATTTGCGTTACAACTGGAAAGAAAAGGGCTTCAAAGTTCTAATAGCGACGATGACAACCGTCCCAACGATAGATAGTTTGATCAGATACATCAGGTCATTTGAACGACGACGAATCGATCAGGCGTAGGAAGAGGGCAGGATACAGAATGAACCTTACCTATGTGAACAAAGGATAAGCCTTCCTCATAATTTATTACATTTATTTACAAAATTTGCAGAACTGATAATTGAAATGCACTTTAACCCTTTCACTCCTACGAGTGACCAAGACAATTTCTCTTTACAATATCAATACAATATCAAGTAGACAAATGATGAGAATAAAGAATGATGTTAATTAGGGGATTATTAGTTGATCCAATATCAAATTCTCCAAACTAAAATCGTAAGAACTATATGGCAGACAGTAAGGAGAATACTTAAAGGGTTGAGGGCCTACTATCATTTGAAGCCGTTGCAAGGTAAAATTTAGTTTGCTATAACTCGACGTTTAGAAAGGAAATAGGTACCGTTGATGACATAGGGACACGCCCAATCTCTCGTGACCCAAAACAAAGAAAGTGATCGGATCTCCAAAGGCATACGGATTCACGTAAAGTTTTAAGAGTGTTATTACTCAGCACGTTTATCGGAAGAAAATTAAAGTATGCATTTAAAGCAAACATAAAGACATGAAAAACGAGGACAGAAAAATGTGTCGTGACTACCTTATCTCGGTGAGTTCTTTCTGGTACAGTCCACCCAACTATTCTCGGCCACCACCGTCTAACCTTCGTCGAAGATCTGATTGGACAAAGGTGTGCCGCTCTATTTTAAACAGTATTAGGATAAAAGGGGCTGGCTGAGGTTTACTTATTGTAGGGAGATTGTAAGATGCCGCTTTGTTACTCAGTATTCAAGGAAAAGCTTGGGGCTGAAATCTGAGGATCTTTCATGCGATTAGGAATAAAGAATAAGATACTTTATTAAACACCATTGCAGCCATAGGCTGAATTACGGGATATTTACAAATACTGATGATAACAAAGAGAAAATAAGAAAAATCATCTACATCTTATAGACATGGCTAAAAATAAAACTGTTCTTCAAACGCTCGGTTTTACATAGGGGGAGAGTGAAATCACTTTTGCGTCTCAGTGCATATTTACAACTCTTCCTTTGGGGGAGGAGGCTATGGAGATTGTGGGTGGGGTTACAGACGATCTCGTCAAACAGATCAACAAATTAACAAATTAACAAATTGAACTAAAAATCGGCGGTTGTTTCGTATGAAGTCAGGTAATTCTCTGGTATTGCGCTGCGTATCGTATACTTTTACATCATAGCATACGAATGGCTCAGTAAAAGAAACGCGTGCAATCATTTATAGGACGAGGTGGCCTGCTATCGAAGTCCCTATTCAAGTTTGGTTACGTCTTTTTTCTTTAACTTTTATTCCTCTCGCCCTCCCTTTTGTTCATATCGTATGTACTCAACTGTAAGCGCCTTCCCCCAATAACCGTCCACCCCTTAGGCCATAATGTTAAACAAGCGCCCCTCTCGAAAAAGCGCCTCCTCCTCTCTCACTTTCTTAAACAGTAGGGATACAACGAAAACCTGTTTCTATTGCCACTTTATTTGCAATTTTTTAAGCTTGAAATATAGCGGAATAATAAGCACCCCCCTCGATTAAATGTCCTGACATCAATATTAAATTAAACGGGAAGCAAGAATGTCAAGCTTACAATTATTTGTTATTTTTCGAAGACAAGGAAGAAACTGAGCCATATGTAATTTTCATCTTTCAAATGATCGCTCGGTGTTAGTGCCCTCAAGTTGTAAGTTTCTTGCAATCGTCTGAGGAAAACAAGAGACAAAAAGGTTAAAGCAGCGCGAATTGCCTATGGGAGTTTTCAGGAGTGCCTACCGGATGCACGGATCCTACAATGTAAGTGTATTCCAGTTCATTTCAAAAGTATAACTATTGATTATTACTTAAAGTCAAGCCACCTCCTATCTTTGATGTCATTTGCCTGTTGCCATAGTTCATTCACTGTATTAACGCCGTCAAAGGTAAGACCTGCGATGTGGTTATTTTCGAGCAAATTACCGATCTACTCTGTCCGGTTTTTTGTTTGTTTGTTTTTTATCTATTATAACAGTTACTATTTTTGTCTTCGACCACGCAAATCACACCCGCAAAGTGCATGAGTACAACGGGTCAGTTTTCGTGCACAGATAGCTTACCGTTTAAAGACAGAACTTTCGTTGTACTCTCGATCTGATCCATCTTGAGAAGTAAATCCAACCGTTCCAAAAGCGATGAACATTGAAGCAGGACGTTCCCCATTAAACAGGGTAAAATGTTTCATTTTTGGATGCTCAAATCCATCATTAGTTATAAAAGTGTGACGTGCCAAACCGAAATACAGTCACTTGGTTTTTTTAGTATCTTTGGCTTCGATCATGCAAATCCCACCCGCTAGAAAATGAAACGTTTACGAAGACAATGAGTCGATTATCACCCAAAGATAGCTTACCGTTTAAAGAAAAAAACATAGTTTGTACTGTGATCGATCTTGTGATGAAAATCAAACCTTTCAAAGGGGTAAGCACCAAAGCCTGATGTTCCCTAATAATATGTTCCCCAAATATTTTCCCGCCTGGCCCCACCAAATTCAGTCAATATGCATTTTAACATACATCCACTAACTGTTGAAAATTCTAACCTAAATAGGACGCGATAGATGGGCAAACGAGCACAAAAAAATTATGCAATTAAAACTTTTCTTTTTTATTTCGATTAGCCCAGAAGGGGGGAGAGGGGGGGGGGGGGGG